CTTTGCTAGGAAACGGATAGCGAAGACTAGTGGAAATAGACTGAGAAGATTAGTCTGGAGTGATTGTAAATTGCGTAAATCAGCAAGAGTGTAATAATTACCTGTAGTTAGGACCTGTAAGTTGTTAATAAATCCAATTACCAATCCAATCCCGCGTCTTAGTCACTGTGACACGTGACAAGATGTTCGTTTCATATACTTGGTAATAAGGCTGCGTGGAAATTTTAAGCTCAGAACATTCAAAAGAGCAGGAAGTTAGCGTTTCAGACGCTACGGTAAGGCTAGAAATCTGTTTTTACTCACCACCTAACGTTATCCGAAGCCCTGAGCATCTGCACATCCCGGCGACAGTGGAGTACTGAGGGACCTACAGCTGTTAGGAGGAATACAAGAGTTCAACATGACTCAGCTTTTAAATCCTCAGCAACTCTGCAAGAACGGTTTTGTGCTCCTCGACATTATCTGCAATTGACGGAGCACGAATGGGGGGGGGAGGAGAATAAGGAAACTTCATGGACATCTCAGCATGCAAATTCAAGGTTACACCGTAACCTGTATACGTTACAATGTACATGTCAACACTCCATATCCGAGGGGCTCTTGCTTCAGATCTCGACAGGATTACTGGATATTCTGACTGTAAATTTCCAGTGTTTTCCTGAATTTCCCAAAAACATACAATAGGCCACCAGCAGTCTCTCCCACGTTCTTTTGAATCATTTTTCAATATCGTTCTCTTAATCCTCTTTCGTAGATACGCGTAATAACGCATGAAACATATACAGCGCACAGTCTTGTGTCTTCTATGTGCCTATTTCTGGAAGAAGTTCGAAAACCCAGAAGAATACCATAGGTCAGTCTTCAGACTAACCTGCTCTCTACATGTCTGAATTGTTCATCAGCTTTTCAACAACGTCATTTATGAAGGATGTCGACTTCTGAGATGTGGCGCCGTATAGATATTGTGTCAACCGAAGTTTCGGAGGAATGTATCGCCTCTGTCTTCAGGATATAAGAAATCCGCGAATGAGGAACCAGCGTGAGCAGGTGGCTGCAGATCTGCAGCTGGTTCCTCGCTCGAGGATTTCTTATACCATGAAGATGGAGGACATACGTTCTTCCGAAACGTCGGTTAACACAATACCTACACGGCGCCACAACCCGGAAGTCGGCATTCTTCATAGTCACCGCCGTGAAAATCTCCGATCTTACAATGTCATTTATGTTTTCTTTATATTAAGTTCGGTAAACACCACTGAATTGTGCAGAATCACAAAGAATGCTTCAGGAAAATATATGTGCTTATGTTCTTTAAAGGAGCATACCTTTCCACTTTTCCTCTTAAATGAGATGGCTTCTACAGCCAATTTGTATGGCAGTTGCCCTACTCTGTTAAGAGAATGATGTTACTTCATTTGATTGAAGTGTGCAACAAAATTACATGCAAACAATACTAAGTGTTTGTGACAGAAACTACACTCGGATAAGGGAAAGAATGAACACGTGTGGTGCGGTTCAGATATGCCGCCTGTTTCCCACACCCCTCTCCGTCGACGCCAGGGACAAACTGAGAACACAAGGAGAGAGTGCTTGCATACGAATCTAAGGCCAGAATTCAAGGGAAAACTGAAGATTAGTAACTGTTAGGCAGGGGGATGGAAGAGGGTGTGTGTTCATTCTTTCTCACACTCAACTTCAGTTCCTAATGACAAGAAGTCTGCAACGTAATTGTTACATCTTTTCAGGCTCCTGTGAATTTGGTGCTAAATGACAAGGCAGAGAATATTATATTGAGAAGGAAAGTGAACGCAACTATACTTTAATTATTGCTTTGTATGGATGTGGAACTTCTTCTTTGACATAAGGGAAGATCATAAATTGAGGGTGAATGAGAGTGGGGTGCTGAGGAGAATTACTGGACCAAAGACGAAAATAACATGAGGACGAAGAAAATTGGATAGTGCTGAACTTCATAATTTATTTTCTTCATAAGATGCTACTAGGACGAGCAAATCAAAAAGGAGGGGATTGGTGTGGCTTGTAGCACTCATGCGTAAAATATTTTGATTGGAAAACTTGAAGAAAGAGAACATTTTGAAAGCTTGAGCGTAGATGCAAGAATAATATTAAAATCTGTCTTACAGAAATAGTGTGGAAGAGTGCGGAGTGTTTTCGGTTGGCTGGAAACAGAGACCAGTGGCGGCCTCTTGTGAATACGGTAATGAAATTTTAGGTTCCATAAAGGGCGGTGAATTTCCTAGTTATTGAAAAGTTTTAGCATCTCATGGGGGACACGCTGTAACGTAGTTGGTTGAGGCACTATGCTACAAGCCGGAAGGTGGGTGGGTTTTTATTTTACTACCTAATCCTTCCAGCCGCACTATGGCCCTGGGGTCGACTCAGCCTCTAACAGAAATGAGTAGCAGGAATCTTCCTGGGGGGGTAAAGGGCGCCCGTCGCGTAAGGCTGACAACCTCACCGCCATCTGAGAGTCGATTGTCTAGAAAATGTGGGAGCCTCGGCGTCTCACAACCCTATGGGCCTTCACGGCCTGTTACAGGGATAGCTTTACTTACTTTATTTTTAGCGTCTCATGAAGGATTGTGCTTCCTGTTGCCAGTGAATGCATCCCTCAAACTATCCAAAAACTATCTCCTTGCCTAGGCTCACTGAATGGAACTGTTTTCTCTCAGTTGCGTATTAATTTTATTATTTCCCCTCACATGCATTCTTTGAATATAGGTGTCTTGTTTGCCTCGTAAATGTAGTAATATTTTCAGTAGCTCACATCCCAAAGTGTCGAGTAAATATTGCTTTGGAAGGGCTGAGGTATGAAGCGGTCTGGCCTAATATGAAATACTATTCTGAATTTCTCTTAGGGACTAATGCAAACCATGAAGATCACCATTCAGCGTAACAAATATCCGGGCCGAGATTTGAACCCCGGACCTCTCGAGTGCGAAACAAGATTGCTAACCGCCCAACCACGAGATTCAATTCCGTATGTTACTCCTAATGTGAATATTATGTTAGCAATTGTAGTTGTTCATTGTCTCAGACTTAGAGAGTCACCCGTGTGAAGTCGGGTTCGAATTCCTCCACCGTGACCCTGCGAGTCGTAGGAGGCGACGAAAAGGGAAGTCTCACATTTGAGACAGTAATATGTGGTCTCGCTCGGTAGGTATAGTTCGCTTGCGGACTAAAACCATGGAGTTATCGTTAATATGTGGTCTCGAGTACCAAGGATCTCGGACCCGAGAAAGACTGCGCAGGAAAGGACCAGCAGCATATACAAAAGACAGATCCGTCCTCTCGTCAGAGAGGGCGCCCACAAAAAACAATACCGTAACTGTCAAGCAGTAATAAAGATCTGGGCGCAAGCCCCAGATGGGAGCTTTATGCCAAGACAGACTGGGCGACTGACCGTCGGTCGTAAAACGAGATTCAGAGAGAGTTTAATAACACGAATATCACAAGAGGTTCAGAGTGAAATCTCAGTTTGAAAATCACAGTAGAGATTCTGAGTTTTGTACTCACAGTTTTGGACTCGACTCTAGCGAGACAGAAGCAGGTTGTGCGTACTAACGGTGTAATATCGCTCGAAGTGACTAATTGTGCGAGTGTGTGTACAAATAAGCGTCCAATGAAAGAATTCGTTCCAATCCGAAGACCCACGCAATTTATTCTTGTCGCGTGACACAACCGACAAATTACATTATTATTATTATTATTATTATTATTATGCTTGTTTGTTTTCTTATATGCATTAATGTGTCTTTTCTCCAGTGTTTACCTTCAATTAGTCTTTGACTTTATGTTGTGTTTGTCCATTACGTAACTACTTTTATTTACACTGTGCTGTGTCTGTAATTGGCCTTGCGGCTGTTGGATCAGCACATTAATAATAAAGAATTGAATTAAAGTTAATACTACTACTACTAATAATAATAATAATAATAATGCAGTTTCATGTTGTGCGTTTATGAATTACATGAGTGTTTATCAGGGGCGGCCCGTGTATACGCACTGCGGAACTGCAGCCCCCCCAATTTCCACTTGATATTATCGATAACATTTATATAATGAGTCCTTTTTCCTTTAATTCTTTCTTTATACTTGTACAATACAATATATAGCTTAATGTCAGTAGCCAAATCTTTGTATGGAACTGTGCGCTTCTGGAGCAGCACCCCCACTAATTTTAGCTACGAGCCGCCACTGGTTTATTAAGATTAGGAATGCTGACATGGCGATCAAAGGACATGAAGTCCTTTCTGGCGACCAGCACATCGAAGACATATAAAATTCCGATGTTCCGAAGAATGTCTCTCTACCTGTGTCATGCAACATATCAGTCCCTGACAGTGGCGGCAGAAGCAGTCTCAGCGACGCAGTTTTGCGCCATATGAACCCCACCCCCTGTGCAGACTTCGAAGCTAAGGAAACTCCACTGATTCTGCAAGACGACCTAGCTGTATAGTGTTTCGTTGTGTTGCATTTCATGAGTTGATTTGCGCCGCTTTTCTTAACCACAATAGAGATTACCGCACAAAGAAACGGGCGTGGTATAACTTGAACTCTAAATACAGGTACAAAAAAACATTCTGTTTAACCACTAGACCGCTTCTGTTTTTCCTCTCTGCTCTCAACAATGGACTCCATTTAACGCCGATAACAGCAGGATAATGAGATCTATTAACCCACTGGGGCTGTAGTGCCAAGGAAAAAACAAAAAGAAAGGGTATACAATGGCTTCTGATTGATAAAATCATCTCTTAAATGGGAGACCACAGCTGCTTGCTGTTACTATTTACTTTATAAAGACGTGTACACTAGTGGTATTATTATGTCCGCGTGAATGTGTTTATGTCTCTCCAATCAACTTTGACACCAATTAATGGATTTGGATGAAACTTGGCAAGAACATTATGACATAAATATCTACCCCTCCTTCAGTTGTAAATTTTTTATACAGCTCAGTCGGTATAACCACTACTTACGGGATAGACGTCCGGGTTTCGATTCTCGGCAGCACCCACACCGACTGCGGGGTCCACCCAGTTTCATATCCAATGGGTTCCGATGGCTCTTTCCCTGAGGCAAAGCGGCAGGGGCGTGTAGCTGACCACTCACCTCCAGCTAGTGCCAAGGTCAAGAAACGTGGAGCTATAAGTCCACTCTCTCATATGTCTTCATGGCACAGTGTTTAACTAATTAAGTATAGGAACAGCTTTACGTTTTATAATTAATAACACCTACACCCGCCCATATGTGTTCCCGTGATGGTACGTACACACTGGAACACGTGCTTTGTTCCTTTTACGAGTGTCCATAGCGACTTAGAATTGGAACACATGAAACGCACATTCAAGGTATAAGTACTTCCTTATTTCTCGTGATAATGCTACTGACAAGAATACAAGCCCGACAGTTCGTTACGTATATTGTGAGTGACACATCTACATAGCAGATATGCTGAGTAATCAATGGAGCCCTGTGTTACAGTTACGAGTGTTGCTGTTGTCTTCATGTGACAATCAGAATCTGGAACGTAACATTAATGACCCGTACACAGTATCCGACTGGCGAATGCAAATAATGCGTCAGATTTTACTTGTCATTGGTTCAACTAATGAGGGCACAAATTCATTTGTTTATATGCAAATGAGTTATAATATCATGCGAAAGAAGCATCAACGAATTTAGAAGTGGTTTGTTTCACTGTGAACATTTTCCAGCTTCTAATTTTGAAACACAGATACTTTATCAGAAAACGGTTCCTAACGGTCACGGCCTTTCTTAGATGACGATCTTTTCGTTAAGGCGTAAAAAGGTAGATACATCATTTTGTTCAGAATATTTTAAGAGGCCACTTGGGAGGCATAGGTTTGAGTGAGAGGGCAATGTTAAAATGGATCTTAAACCAGTCCTGCATAAGGAAAGGATTCATCTGCCTTAGTATAAAGTCCAGTGGCGATCTCTTGTGAACATGGTAATGAAACTTTGGGTTCGATAAAAGTTGACAGATTTCATGACCAGATTTACGACTGTCAGCTTCTCAAGAATGATTGTATTCTGTGGAGTTAGACGAATTTTAATTGACTCTGTGTAGGCATAAAGTCAGTAGAGGCTACCCCACATCTGGAGCTTATAATTTTCTGTTCGCAGTAATATGAACTTTATTTTCTTTATTGGCTCTACAGCCCCCTTGGGCCCTGGCCTCTGATTTTCAGTTTCATGATCATTTTACAGATGGCAGGACCCCTTGGATGAGCGATCAGTTCGTTGCGAGGCCTCTACCTAAACGCAGGGCAACATAAATACAGAATAAACACATACACATACAAAATATCCATGCCTTGTGTGGGATTCGAACCCACGATCCCGGCTTCCGAGCGAGCGAAGACAGTACATGTCTCAGACCGCTAGGCTACCGTGACCGGCAATATGAACATTGTAGCCTTGCAAATTTCCGATGTGACCAGCGACACTTATTATAGGTTTCTGAATTTTTGTTCGAATCAATATTCCAAAAATATGTAATTACTTTTAGGTGTAATATAAAACAATTTGGTGGTCGCATGATGTTTTGGTTCCATAGAAATAGCTAACACTTGTATATAATTGAATCTAGGGATAAGAATTTGGAAGAATATTTATATATCAACAACTCCAAACGCAGAAAAATTTGCAGCATTTTAGGTTATGTCAGACAAGCAGATATATATCGTACTCGGAACTTGTATATGTGAAAATAATGCAGTGAAATGATTCGCGAAATTACGTAATTAATTTATGAGCTTATAATTTGTGATAGTGCCACCACATAGACCGGAAAATTTGCAGGAAAGTGGGCATCATAAGCTGTCTTCCATAACTGCCTGTGTGTTCTCTCATGTGTAGGTATGAAAGTTATTGTCGTGAAAGTTGTGCTTGTCTGCGTGACTTGCAAGATGATATCTCAGGTAGAATATAAACAGAGCAGTTAATAGCCATCATTATGCATTATTCACATGAAGTACATAAAATGAACGCCTATATGGAAGGTGCCTCTCCCGTTATTTCTCGCGTGCTTCATGGCCGAAACTATTAAGCAGGTTTAAGTGACATCTGGTGTGGACCCTAAGTCGGTTCCTGCTATACATGAAGCTCTAATCGAACATTACTAACGTTCTTATGAAACTGATGGGCTACAAGTCACTGAGGGAGCTGAGCCCTTCTAGAGAAGCTGCCAATTCTGCAGCTGCTGAAGAATTTCCTAGCATTTTATGGAACTCGAAGTTTCATTACCGTGTTCACAAGAGCCCTCCACTTGTACCTATCCTGAGCTAGATCAATCTAATCCATACCATCCCATCCTGTCTCTCTGATCCATTTTAATATTGTCCACCCACCTACGCCTTGATCTTCCCAGTGGTCTTTTTCCTTCAGGATTTCCCACCAATATCCTATATGTATTCCTCTTCTCCCCATTCGTGCCACATGTCCTGCCCACCTCATCCTCCTTGATTTGATCCTTCTACTTATTCTTGGAGAAGAGTATAAGTTATGAAGCCCCTCATGGGACGGGCTACATATGATAAAATATAAGTCTCAGGAAATTAAGCAACTTTTATAACTATCGATTTCTGATCAAGCCCACAAGCTGAGGCTCCCCTTTGCATGAGAACGGAAGCAGAACCAGTTTTAGAAATGTTGCATCTTAGTGTAAAACCTGGATCATAGCTAATGTCCAAGGTATTAAAACTGTAGAGTTGTAGTGAATATTTAACAATATGTAAGGGAAATTGTTTCTAACCTTATGGAGGACGTAATCTATGATGTGATTAGATTTCTGTAGGTCTATAAATTACCATGGGGTATTAACAAAATCTTCTCCTTAATGGCGAGGAATTACAATTGCAAGCAGATAAAGACGGAAGAATTTCGGTGGAGATGACCAAGTCCTGTCACAGGAAACCACTGTGAAACCGTAACGGTTTCCATACTAGAGGTCCGGCTACAGCAGCTCAGAAGTGTCACGGAGCACGTATCAGCAGATGGGCCGCGAGTAATGAGCTATGAAGGCGTCATTCCACCCACTTCTTGAAAGAGATTAATTTTTTACGTGTATTCACATCAGGCACATTCTACCGAAAGGCCGTGAGTAGTGTAGACATTTTGGTTTCTGCGCACAGAGTATTGTGGTTTTTCTCTGCCAATCACCACTCCTCCACAGGCATCTGTCACCCTCTCGGTCCTTACTTGGGACTTCACCGTTGATGCGACAGCAGTCAGGACTCACAGTAAGGTAGCCGACTGTAGGGAGTTGATGTATTATATAAATGTATATAAAAGTACCGTATTTACGCATGTATAGGCCGCGTGCGTGTATAGGCCGCAGCACAATTTTCAGACAGAAATTATAGAAAAAATAATTTTCTTGGAATATTATTTCAGGAGTAGAACATCCTGTATTACTAATTATGAATATATTATTTTTAAATGAAGTGTGATTTCGAATATTTCGAATATAAGCCGCACCCCAGTTTTCCTCTTGCATTTTTGGCAAAAAATGTGCGGCCTATACATGCGTAAATACGGTATGCAGTCTACACAACAAAATTCTGCATTTAAAAATAAAATATACACCAGCGTCAATATAAACAAATGCTGATACAGTAGTGTCATTAGATTCTAAAGGGTTCTGACGAAAGTGGATGACACACAAATTACTGGGTTCTTGGACTTGTTCCATCGTCCGGAATTCTAGGTAATAGAGGACACGACGTTTCGGAAACTGGATATGTTTCCGTAAACAGATGAGAAAGGAAGACACCTACTCAGTTGAGCCCCTTAGAAAGAGCTAATCTCTTGAGACTAGTTTCAACGTCTTTATAATATTTACATGTGGAATGAGGAACATTGATCTCTCCTGCATTGATCTGACGTGGATATATCGCCTTAATGTCTGGGTAGCAAACTGCATAGTGTGGGGGGGGGATATGAAATCAATAGTAATGTTGCTCTCGTATGCTAATTTCATAATTTGTATTACAAAATGTTTTACATAAACACAATTAGGTCATGTTAGGTAACAGTAATAACAGAATGGAAATGAAGATTTCATAATATTTGTAACATTTCCAACAGAAGACATAATGCTTGTTTTATAGCAATTATTTAATTATGAGTACAGAGACTGCTCATGTGAGACAGGTTCAAATGCTGGCAGATAACACGATTGCAGACAAGTGTGTAACTGCTGTACATACCTTGCCGTAACAAACCTGTATGTCTGCCCCACACTTGTTCCATTTTTCTAGGTACAACACAAGGAAGTTAATACGTATGCCTACTACAGTTACTTGCGTTGAGTGTATTTACATCGCACATTGCTTGCTTGAAAATTTAAACAGCTTGAGCAATGATAATGCATAGGTTATATATATATATATATTCTTTAATTTAATGGGGTTTTAACTGATGCATTTAAATTTTGATGTTAATGACATGACTTGATTACAGATAATAAATACCACACACTTAATAAGTGGACAATACGAATAATTATATGTCAGATTATCTTAAATTTACTCAGTTACTATTAAAATGTAATTAAAATTAAAGTGAAAATGCAGTTAGTTAAATACATTTGTCGCCCGTGGTTGACGTGTGAAATGTGACCGAATGGTGCGATATGACTCCAGGAGGCAGAACCTGTATGGAGAAGCTTATATTGAGTCGGTTGGTCAAGAAGTTCCCCTGCCCTTTATGGAACCCGAAAGTTCACTACCTGGTTTAAAAGGTCCCACCACCTAATCCATCCTGAGCCAATTGAATTCGGCCCATAACCTCACACATTGCTTTTTTTAAGAATATAGTTTAATATTCTCTAAACATGTCAAAATCTCCCAAGTGATCCCCTCTGTTGCACGCTCCCCGATAACCTTCTCTTTGCAATTATCATCTCGATATATGCTATATGATCTGCCCATCTCAGCCTCGTTCGTTTAATCGTCCTAATGATACTAAGCCAAGGGAAAAATCGTGAAGTTAAGAATTTAATTGTTC